TTTCAAATTTGTACATTTGTTTATGTCATTGCCAAATCCTTCAGAAGATTTCATTAAACAAATAGAAAGATTATTATACCGGTTTTTTATGGAAAAAAAGGCCCAGATAAAGATTAAAAGATCAGTTATAGATAAAAATATAGAGGCAGGTGGTATTAAAATGTTAAATGTTAGAGCCTTTATGAACAGTTTAAAGTTAAGTTGGATCAAACGTCTATTGAACGAAAATGGGCGGAATCTTGGGTTACCCTCTCTCGTTTGAATATAACCAAAGTGGTAAAACTTGGTCCTGGTTATGCATCAGTTATATCTGAAGAACTTTCAAATATTTTCTGGAAACAAGTGTTGAAAACATGGACTTACTTTTGCAAAAAAAAGTGAACATAGAAGTATCGAAGATATATTATATTCACCATTATGGTTTAAAACACTAGACTTCCGTAACACTAATTTATTTTTTTAACAATTGGATACATCACAATATAATATCTATTATTGATTTATATGACAATGACGGTAATATTTACAGTATTCAAAAAATTGAAAGATATATATAAGATAAGAGGCACATTTTTAGATATTCAACAAGTCATTGAGTCCATCCCTTATTTATGGAGAGAAAAAAATTAGGAACAGTAAAGATAAAGTATTCTTATACAAGCAAAACATTTCATTAAATCCCTATCTTAAATGTGTTATACAAAAAGTAAGGGTTGCAGATTCTTTTATGATATCCTTATTGACGCTGACAATTTAGTTGTTCCTAACAAATGAGTAAATTCTGTAGGACCTATATCACAGAAGGAGTTTTTAAATTATTGTACAAACTTAAATACTGTGAAAGAAATAAAGTTGAAAGATTTTCAATATAAGATTAATCAAAAAAATTCTTGTGACAAATACATTTTTACATCGAATAGATATTAGAGATAATGATTTATGCTCATATTGTAACATTGATAGAGAAACGATTGAACATTTATTCTATCAATGCCCGTATACCAATATTTTTCTTTTAGAATTGAAAGACTGGCTTAGAGATAAGTGTTTTTGTCGAATTTGATATTTCAGACATGAAAGGCATACTGTTCTCGTATTATGGAAAACATTCTATTTTGAATTTTGTAACATTATTAGCAAAATACTATGTTTATAAAAACAAAATTTAGAGAAAACTGTCAAATTACTTAAATATAAATATGTTTTTAATATACTTAAAAATGAAAATTAAAAAATCAGAATACATAGCTTTTTTTAAATGGAGATGTAATTTCTTTTCATAATTTGTGGCAAAAATATTATTCAAAAATTATCCTTGATAATGAGTAACCTTATATTTTATAATCAGAATACCGATAAGGAAATTATAACAACATAAAAGATTTTTAAAATATAATCAGACAACCTAAATGAGAACGTACATACAGGCCTCTATACGAACAAATGTTGTTTTTTTTTTTTTTGTTTGTTTTCAATGTGAATTTACATTAATATATATCTTTTCTCATATATAAGTTAGAAACAAATACTTATGTGTACTTGATTATATCTATTATATCTATTAATCTTGTTGCATTATTATGTAACACGTCATAATTCTATAGCCCATGCATGAATTATTATAATTTACAATTTACATAATTATTTGTCCTTGTCATATTGTGTATATATTGTTTGTTAGAAAACTTGTAAGGTAAAAACTGATCCCCGACCCTATTTTACCGATGACGGGGACAATAAACGAATAACCTGTTGGGCTTCAAAAAAAAAAAAAAAAAAAAAAAAAAAAAAAAAAAAAAAAAAAAAAACTTTATTTCTCCAAACTGATGATATGGGATGAGATGAGACGAGAACTTGCAAGAAGGCTAAGGTAAAAAAAGTTCATTATATGACATAATCTCTTTAGAGACTTAAGGTTTAAAACTGTACCTAAAAAAAAAAAAAACAAAAGGTCATTAATAGTCAATTAGTGATTATTTCAGACAGTCTTGTTAGACAGGATTTTATTGATTACAATTGAAGTGACTGTCAGAATTAAAACTATGTAATTTGTAATTTTTAAAGAAACTAAACTGTTTAATGAAACAAGCTATATTTGTCTATTTATCAATAAGCATGAGATAATTGGTAAAATTTTGGAAATTTTTCAGGGATGAAGGGCCTATCACTTACTTTAAAAGGTAGACATTAATCGGCATAAAAGCCCATTAGATATTCACCGTGAGGTTTGTGACATTTATGGTTGATGGTGAAATGTGTTCACAGATCTATTTGTAGGTGGATTGCTAAATTTAAAAACTGGGTCAGGCAGAAAATTCCCAAAGATGCTTATACTTGGCCCAAAGGTTGTCCTGCAACAAGGAAAACGAAAGCAACATAGAAACAAGAAGGGCCCTAATGCCCCTCAGATTGATGGCCTCTTTGATCGCTCCCCCTGAACCCATCAATCACATTCTGAGCAATGTCCTGCATCCTGACCAAGTTTTGCACAATGGAGTCAAAAATGTGAACTCTAGTGTGTTAACAAGGTTTTTTCCATATTTGGGCAGTGTGCCCTAGCTTTTGACCCCAGGTGACCCATATTCAAAGATGACCTAGAAATCATCAAAACAACCTTCCTGACTGATTTCAAGGAAATTTGAATCAAAACTGCAGCCACTAGAGTCTTTAGAAGCTTTTTTCTATTTCTAGCTTCTATGACCTAGTTTTTGACGGGAGATGACCCGTATTCAAACTTTACCTACAAAACAACCTTCTTGACCAATATTCAGGATATTTGGATCAAAACTGCAGCCACTAGAGTGTTAACAAGATTTTTCTATTTTTAGCTCCTGTGACTTAGTTTTTTACCATAGATGACCCATATGTGAACTTAACCTAGAAATCATCAACCTTCCTGACAAATTTCCAAAATATTTAGATTGAAACTGCAGCCACCAGAGTGTTAAAAAGATTTTTCTGTTTTTAGCTCCTGTGACCTAGTTTTTGAAGGGAGATGACCCATATTCAAACTTGAACTACAAATCATCTAAACAACCTTCCTGACCGATTTCCAGAAAATTTGGATCAAAACTGCAGCCACAAGTGTTAACAAGATTTTTCTATTTTAAGCTCCTGTTACCTAGTTTTTGATCCGAGATGACCCATCTTCAAACTTGACCTATAAATCATCAAAACAACCTTCCTGACAAATTTACAGAATATTTGGATCAAAACTGCAGCCACTAAAGTGTTAGCAAGATTTTTCTATTTTTAGCTTCTGTGACCTAGTAGTTGACTGGAGATGATTCATATTCCAATTTGACCTCGAAATCATCAAAACAACCTTCCTGACAAATTTCCAGAATATTTGGATCAAAACTGCAGCCACTAGACTATTAATAAGATTTTTCTATTTTTATCTCCTGTGACCTAGTTTTTGACCAAAGATGACCCATATTCAAACTTGGCCTAGAAATCATCAAAACAACTTTCCTGACAAATTTCTAGAATATTTGTATCAAAACTGCAGCCACTAGAGTGTTAACAAGCTTTTTCTGTTTTTAGCCCCTGTGACTTAGTTTTTGACCCGAGATGACCCATCCTCGAACTTGACTTAGAAATCATCAAAACAACCTTCCTGACAAATTTCCAGAATATTTGGATCAAAACAACAGCCACTAGACTATTAACAAGTTTTTTCTATTTTTAGCCCCTGTGACCTAGTTTTTGACCCGAGATGACCCATCTTCGAACTTGACCTAGAAATCATCAAAATAATCTTCCTGACAATTTTCCAGAATATTTGGATCAAAACTGCATCCACAAGAGTGTTAACAAGCTTTCTCTATTTTTAGCTCCTGTGACCTAGTTTTTGAGCCGAGATGACCCATCTTCGAACTAGATCTGTATTTTATCGAGACAAACATTCTTACAAAATTTGATGATGATCCAATCAAAACTGTGACTGCTAGACTGTATATAACCCAATTGTTGACGACGCACGACGATGGACGCCAGACATAGCCCCATCACTTTACCTCACCTTGACCACTTTGTGGTCAGGTGAGCTAAAAACAGGAATATGCTGAACAAAGATGCCCGATACACTGTGAGGGATTTAGCACAGTTGATGAACTTGTCTTAAGCACGAGTTCATGGTATTTTAAAGAAATATCTTTAACTTCCAAAAATATATGCATAATGGATACCCTATTTGCTAACAGAACCCATGTTGCAAATGCAAAAAACCTTCTTAAAATGTATCCCAATTATAACAAAAAGGCTTCCCACAACTTCGTTACTGGTGATGAGGCATGGGTTTACTATTTTTAGCCACTAAAAATGCAAAACATCTAAGTATTGCCACTGTTAAGAAAGTTTTGTATGTGATTTTCTTTTATAATAAGGGACCAGTAATGCAAATTCCAGAACCAAAAGGCAGAATGGTAACAGCAAAGTTCTACAAAAATGTTGTTCTGAAAAATTTTAAGTCCTGCCACAAACGCTGCCGCCCAAGCACAGGAATCAAGTACCTCCGGCTTTTACATGATAATGCCCCTGGTTCATAAGGCTAGGCTTGTGACCGAGTTTTTGGCATCAGAAAAAGTTACTGTCCTTCCGCAGCCTGCATATTTACCAGACTTGGCCCCTTGTGACTTTTTCTTGTTTCAAAAACTCAAATTCCAACTGTCTGGAAAGAAATACAAGTCGAGAAATGCCATTGGGTCACCTAATGAGTGTCCCCATTAACAAGTATTACTCAGTGTGTTCAAGTAGGTGGGGAGTATTTTGAGGGTCAGAGAAATTTAAAATGATGAAAATACTTCAGTTTAGGAAGACAAAGGCAAATGACATTATTTTTGGAACACCCCTCGTACACTCAATGGAACAAAAATTATGTTTTACATTGTAACCTTAGTGCAGTAACAAGTTAACTCTGATTGAAATTTAATATGAGTTACCCTATAACTGCACTAAGGTGACCATATGTGCAACAAGTACATTTGTACTTAATAAGCTAAATCTTTTTAATTTACCTTTTTCCAGTTGGCTCTTTTCATTGGCTGTTTGACTTGATATTTTTTCTTTGGTTGCATTCCAAATGGCAGTGCTTTAGAAACTGGCGAAGGCATTCCAAATGGTGGTGGAGGGGCCATTCCAGGGGGCATTGGGGCACCAGGGGGTGGGGGTGGAGGAGGAGGACCTCCACCTGGGGGTGGAGGAGGGGGAGGTACACCTCCAGGGAATGGAGGGGGTGGTGGTGGTGGAGGGCCCCCACCTGGTGGTGGTGGTGGTGGTGGTGGGACACCTCCTGGTGGGGGCGGAGGAGGTGGTGGAGCTGGTGGTGGTGGACCACCTTTGTTTATCACAGATGAAAGTTGTGTTTCTACTCCATCTTTAACCTGCAATGACAAGTACATAATTATTAACATTAGCAAAAACATAGAAATAAAGATATCAGAAAGATACCCTTACTTACATCACTACTGATCGATAAGATCATAAAGAAAATATTCAGTAGAAAAGACACTTTGAAAACTACACTAAGCATTCATATCAAAAGAAACTCAAATGTCTAATGTATCACTGTCATAATTACATATTAACAAAAGTTTCAAAATAATTGCTCTTATTTGATAATTCTTTACAATCAATTTCCAGACTGGAAAATAACATTCTTTGTTATTGCAAATAAAAACATTATACATGTAATTATAACATAATCTTTGTTTTTATTAATAAATAAAAATTAATCAAGTTAATTAGATAAAGAACTTTAAAGGCGCTCCACTGAGGTCAAAAAGCTTAAAAACACAATCTGACAAAAGCTCAAAACTACTCAAGTTATTTCTTGCATGTAGATCTGATTGTCACCTGTTTGTTTTCCCTTCATTGTGATTTGGATTTCCCGAGAAATCAATCCCACTGTCCTTTACAGATAGGCATTAGACAAAGTATCAAAACATCGCTGTCTATGAAAGTAAACAAAATTGTTAATTTTTGTTAGAAAAAAATTGTTTGAAGTAATTTGAAACAATAAATTGGAGATAATAGACTCAATTTTTAATGGGAAAGATTGTTTTGCCTGTTAACCTGCCCGCTTTATGGACATAGCCATGTTTGTTCTCGAAATCATGAAAATTACCTACTCAGTATTGCTTTTCCAGCGTTTAAATTTAATTAGAAACAGCATTGCTTTCAATTGTGAAAGCTAGCTGATGACTGGCTGTTTAAAAGGTCACATCCTATTGGTGCCCATCAGATCCTAATGCATAGCGTTAATTAGAAGCTGACTTTAATTAGATGCCTAAAGACACGAACTGAAATTCTAATACAGATCAAGTGTCAGAAGCACTTTAAATGGAAAAATTTGAAATTTGATTCTTTGTGTGATTCAAAGCCACATTTCAAGTGGCCATAAAAATTATTATTCTGGAAAAACACAGAGAGGGAATGATCTGAAAATTTGCACAAATGTTATTAGTCCAGACCAACATCAAATGACACAAAAATCTTAAAAAAATATTCCTAGTCCTGCTATTTAAAAAAACTCAGTGGAGTCCCTTTCAAATTAAAAACAGAAGTATCAATTTAAAAGATTTGATGTACAAAGCAATAGCTTTACACTTTAGGCACACTAAATACTCAAACCTATTATCTACATAAAGAAAATAGAAATCAACAGGTAACATTTAAGTACAAAAGGTTAACTAGCAGATCAAAATAATGTCAATTCATCAATGAAAGTGACTGATGAAAGTATTCTTTTAAAACTTCAAAGAACAGTTTTCAATACATCTTGTATTCCTGCATATGAATAGGGAAATCATGTAAATTCTGCATAATAATACCAACAATTTTTTTAAAATAAATGTGCAAAATTGAACCAAGGCTCTTTTTTAAGCTATGAGAAGAAAAGATTAACCCTCTTGCCATATTTCTAAAACTGTACACTCAGGTTACTTATTATTAAGAAATTATTTTCATAACATTTTTTGTAGTAAGAAGCTTTTGTGTCTGCTAGGTCTAGCAAAATTAAGTCAGTCACTGGTGGTAGTGAAAGACATTCATGGCTGCTTTTCATGTGCCTTCATTTTTTTTCTCCCAAAATAATTCCGTTTAATGAATACAAAAGAGTTTCACCTACACATACAATTTCTGCACATTAAAATGATTAAAGAAGCAAATGGACAAGCTGCCAAGCAATTAGCAATATTTTCAAAACATAATACATCATCATCATCAAATTACATGTCTTCGCCCAGTCATACATAATTAAAAGAACACTTAAAACTGAACAAAGAAAAATAACTATGATTACAAAATATAAAACAAAACTGTAGAATTTTACAATCCATCCATGGATGATAGAACTGATAACCTGACACAACAATCAGTGTGATTAGTTTCTGTATTTTTATGTTTTGCTTGCTGATTCTAACACATACTTTGGTCATATCTCAGCCACTTATAACTTAACCAGCTTTCCTGAATAACTAACCAGTAAATTACCAATTTCTCCATAAGTAAATGGCTTGTGCAAAATTATTTCAAAACCATATAAATGACAAATGTAAATGATAAAACATGGACAATCAACACAAAAACTATAACGCACATTTCAGGTGCTTACAAATTTAGCTTCCAATTCAAGGGAGAAAAATACTGTAAGTTAACAAAATGAAATTTCACATTTGTAGTCACCCTTCTATTTCAAACAACAACTGAATTTTCTTAACAAAACAAATGTCTCTATCCCGGTCCCTTACCACCATGCTCATAACATAATTATGACTAGAAATGTGTCATCATGCCACGGATGCCCCCGCATGCAGCCAAAATTTCAGATGGTGCATTAGTTATTTTTTTCATTTTAAGTTCAAAGCCTTTAAAACTTTTCAATGTTAACACAAACCATTTTCATACAATGTTCAAGGCACTGAAATTATTCAGTCTTAACCTTTTAAAAATAGCATATTGCATATTTGTAGCCAAAATAATGGCTAAAAGTATGAGTGCTGAAACTGAAAGTTCAAAATTTTTCCAACATTCAGGAAAGATAAGTTTGTCTAAAATCATTGAACCACGACCAAATTCAAACTTAAACTGCTTATTCCTAAGATGTATCTATATTATTTTCAAAGTGAAATTAGGGACATAACTCTGCCAAAACATCATCAAACCATGACCAAATTCCAACTTGACCTGCCCATTCCTTTGACATATCTATATGTCAAATTTAAGTTGAATATGTAACAATGTTGGGTAGATAATGAACAGAAACTGTAAATTTCATATTATTTTCAAAGTGAAAGGGGCATTACTCTGCCAAAAATCATTGAACCATGACCAAATTCGAACTTGGCTTGGGCATTCCAAAAACATATCCATATGTCAAATTTGGGTTAAATGTGTTGAACCATTGGGGAGATAATAAACGGAAACTGAAAATTTCATATATTTTTCAAAGTGAAAGGGGCATAACTCTGCCAAAAATCATTGAACCATGACCAAATTTGAACTTGACCTCCGCATTCCTTTGACGCATCCATATGTCAAGTTTGAGTTGAATGTGTTGTACCTTTGGGGAGATAATGAACGGAAACTGAAAATTTCATATTGTTTTCAAAGTAAAAGGGGCATAACTCTGCCAAAAATCATCGAACCTTGACCAAATTCGAACTTGACCTGTATTTTTTTCATGACATATCCATATGTCAAGTTTGAGTTGAATGTGTTGTACCTTTGGGGAGATAATGAACGGAAACTGAAAATTTCATATTATTTTCAAAGTAAAAGGGGCATAACTCTGCCAAAAATCATCGAACCATGACCAAATTCGAACTTGACCTATATTTTCTCATGACATATCCATATGTCAAGTTTGAGTTGAATGTGTTGTACCATTGGGGAGATAATGAACGGAAACTGAAAATTTCATATTATTTTCAAAGTAAAAGGGGCATAACTCTGCCAAAAATCATCGAACCATGACCAAATTCGAACTTGACCTGTATTTTCTCATGACATATCCATATGTCAAGTTTGAGTAGAATGTGTTGGTCCGTTGGGGAGATAATGAACGGAAACTGAAATTTCATATTATTTTCAAAGTAAAAGGGGCATAACTCTGCCAAAAATCATCGAACCATGACCAAATTCGAACTTGACCTGTATTTTCTCATGACATATACATATGTCAAATTTGAGTTGAATGTGTGCAACCGTTCTTAAGATAATGAACGGAAACTGATGATGACGGAATGACAGAATGACGGAAGGATGGAAGGACGGAAGGATGGAAGGACGGAAGGACGGAAGGACGGAATGACGGAACAGGGTAACACTATATGCCCCGGCCATTACATGGCGGGGGCATAATAAAAATACTCTCACAAAATCACAAACTGATTTAGATGAACATTTTTAGACCTCTTAACATGACCTTTGAGCTACCAAACAGAAACAAACACATAACACCATCTGGCTTTTTTAAAGTTAAAGAGAAGAAGAATTTCATTTTATGGAACAAGAGATTCCAAAATTAATGCCAATTTATGACTGTCTTGAGTCACAATGGCATCCTTATTATACCTTTGGTTGGCCCAATACACAATTATGTAATTATAGTTACATATATTAGTTTTAAAGGTATAAATTTCTGAAAGTGACATTATACCCATTCATGTTGAGAACCATCATGTAATGCTATGCAATAAATATCTGAGCTCAAGCCTAGTTCACTTTTAGTCTTCATGTTGGTCAAACTCTACCAAGTGGTTTAGTAAGAAATTGTGGATAACAACCATGTCAGAAGACAAACATCAAGATATCATTATAGCTGAACTTAAGGTACTTTTTTCTCACATGAACTAAACATAACAGCCCAACTGACTGACAGACTCACAAGCTTGAGGTCTAAAGAGAAAATTCATCCTACTCAAACAACATGACCTGTCAATATGACAGCATTCCTATCTTCAGCTAGTCAAGCTAACTAGAACTCCGCGAGTCGGATGTGTCGCCTTGTGAACAATATAGTTTAGGAGAAATGGCCAGGACAAAAATGAAATATGAAAATGAACAAAGGGCAATAACTCAAAAAATAAGTGCAGAGCAGCACTTTCTGTGCACTGCACTTCTTATCAATAAGATCTATCATCCTATTTAGTTTCATGTCCATAGCTTTTATACTTTAGGAGAAATGGCCTGGACAAAAATAAAGTACGAAAATTAATAAAGGGTAATAACTCAAAAATAAGAAGTGCAGAGTACCAGTTCTTGTACTCTTAATGAGATCTATCATCCTATGAAGTTTAAGGACCATAGCTTTTATACTTTAGGAGAAATGGCCTGGACAAAAATAAAGTATGAAAATTAACAAAGGGCAATAAAAAATAAGAAATGCAGAGTACCGGTTCTTGTGCACTGCACTTCTTCTTAATGAGATCTATCATCCTATGAAGTTTCATGTCCATAGCTTTTATACTTTAGGAGAAATGGCCTGGACAAAAATAAAGTATGAAAATTAACAAAGGGCAATAACTCAAAAAATAAGAAATGCAGAGTACAGGTTCTTGTGCACTGCATTTCTTCTTAATGAGATCTATCATCCTATTAAGTTTCATGTCCATAGCTTTTATACTTTAGGAGAAATGGCATGGACAAAAATAAAGTATGAAAATTAACAAAGGGCAATAACTCAAAAAATTAAGAAATGCAGAGTACCGGTTCTTATGCATTGCACTTCTTCTTAATGAGATCTATCATCCTATGAAGTTTCATGTCCATAGCTTTTATACATTAGGTGAAATGGCCCAGACAAAAATAAAGTATAAAAATTAACAAAGGGCAATAACTCAAAAATTAAGAAGTGCAGAGTACTGGTTCTTGTGCACTGCACTTCGGGTCATTATAAGAAGCATGCATACCAAGTTTGAAGTCAATCTGACTTATAATGACTGACTTATGCTTTGGACAAGCTTAAGGGGATGCCGACAACGGCACCGACAACGACGCGAACGACGCCAACAACAAAAGTAACCCCTATGTGTCGCCTTTTTCAAGGCGACACAAAAATGATCTCACAGTATTGTTGAAACAGGTTTAAGTTTTGTTTAATTCTGAAACACACAAAATTTCAAACTGCTTACAGAATGATAGCAATGCAAAATATGTTTATTTTAGCCTATAGAGCAAAAGATACAAATTCTAAGTTTCTAAGATTCTAATTCAAAGTTCTAAGATTCTAATGCAAAGTTTAAATCAAATCAGATATAAAACATCTCTTAAAAACATTGTATGTGCTGATTCAGAAGTTTGCTGCAAGACAATGAACTCAATAACATGAACATGAACCCAATAACATGAACCCAATAACATGAACCCAATAACACAAATGGAAGATCAGCCATAATGCTACCTGTACAGTGAGATGGACATAGGACAGCCATAGATTCTAAAAGTTCACATTTATATTTAATGCTCAGGTGTGCTAAAATATACATGGTGAGAGGAGTTTGTACAAGTCTGCAGTTCATATGTTGCCATATCCTTACAGTGGGAAAAATCAAATCTTGTAAGGTAATGATCTCATAAATATAAATGATAAAAACCTGGTGAAAAGGGGTATATATTATCATTGTGTGCACTAGAATGTTTGTAGGAAATTATTCAGGAAAATAACAGGTAGTATTTATCATGAATATACAGAATGGGGTAAATATTGTTAAGAGAAAGTTAATATCATTATTAAGTAAAAAGAACTGTGCTAAATACACACACTCACACACACATACACATGCAATGTAGGGTGTCTATACTTATATATATAATGTTCACACACCGGTTCCTGATCTGATGATTTACTCTCTGCCTCACATTTTGGGCAGACAACCATCTGTTTAATGGCTGCTGCTGCAGAAGGCATTTGTTTTGTTAATTTAGCCTCAAGGGCAGCTTGTTGTTCCTTCCTCATCTGATGCAGTAAAACCAAATTATTATCATTGTTGTACTCAGTTATTATATAAAAGCATTTCATCTTGATTTATAAAGACATACATTACATGGAAAAGCAGATATATATGATTCAAATCATTGTAAAAACTTACGCATGTACAAATCAAATTCTAAAACAATTTATTTGTTTACATGATAGTTACTTTTAAGTTTTTGCATTTTAATCATTACTTTTATTTAAAATAATAGGAAGTCTGCCATCATTTTATATAAGCTAACTTATGATTACTTTCATAAAATAACATTGGTCAGACAAATAAACTACTTGGACAGTGAAGTATACTTTTTCCATTTCAAAATCATAAATAATGGGAATTCTGCAATAGAATACTAGCAAACAGTTATTGAAAGCTAATAATAAAATAGTTTACATATATTAATAACTTTTAAAAGTTAAAATTAGGGATGGGAATGAATGTTTGAATACTGAGAAAATGGCTAAATAGTCAGAGTTGAAAATCAACAAATTTTGAAATTCTTTTTTTTTTCAAAATAATAATAGCGCAATGACACCTTAATTGTGGACCAAATCACATTGACAAGGGCCATCATTACAATGTGCTTACTAAGGATATGCTCTTGAAACTGAAAAAGTATTTAAAGTCTGAAAAGAATACCTGTGATGGTTTTTGAGAAAAGTTAACCAGGGCAAAAAATTAAATAGAAAAAGAATTATAAACTAGAAATGTGTCCATAGGACACTGATGCCCCCACACGCCACTGTTCTGTCAATCTTATGACTCTAGGTCAAATATTTTTTGGACTACATGTGCCACAAGTGGAAAACTAAAAATCAACAAAGGGCCATAATTCTGTTAAATTTGGTCGCAGCAAAAATTCCTTCCTTTACTACCATCTACACATTAAGGTTGTTAATCCCTGGAAGTTTAAGCAAAATCTGCCATCCGGTTTAAGAGGAGTTGCATTCACAAAATTTCTACATAGTATATAATGAAAAAATCAACAAAGGGCCATAATTCTGTTAAATTTGGTTGCAGCAAAAATTCCTTCCTTTACTGCCATCTACACATTAAGGTTGGTCATCCCTGGAAGTTTAAGCAAAATCTGCCATCTGGTTTAAGAGGAGTTGCATTCACAAAATTTCTACATAGTATATAGTGAAAAAATCAACAAAGGGCCATAATTCTGTAAAATTTGGTCGCAGCAAAAATTCCTTCCTTTACTACCATCTACACATTAAGGTTGTTCATCCCTGTAAGTTTAAGCAAAATCTGCCATCCGGTTTAAGAGGAGTTGCATTCACAAAATTTCTACATAGTATATAGTGAAAAAATCAACAAAGGGCCATAATTCTGTTAAATTTGGTCGCAGCAAAAATTCCTTCCTTTACTACCATCTACACATTAAGGTTGTTCATCCCTGTAAGTTTAAGCAAAATCTGCCACCCGTTTTAAGAGGAGTTGCGTTCACAAAATTTCTACATAGTATCTAGTGAAAAAATCAACAAAGGGCCATAATTCTGTTAAATTTGGTCGCAGCGAAAATTCCTTCCTTTACTGCCATCTACACATTAAGGTTGTTCATCCCTGTAAGTTTAAGCAAAATCTGCCATCCGGTTTAAGAGGAGTTGCGTTCACAAAATTTCGGGACGGACGGACTTACTGACTGACGGATTGACGGACATGGGGGCATAACAATAAAATATGGCAAAATATAATTGAAGGATTATCTACACTTGGGATAAAGCATCACTATATTAGCATATGAAGTTTGCATTTTTTTTTTACTTTAAGTGATCTTGACCATAAACCTAGAGGTTCTATAAGCAATCCAAAGCAAGGTCTCATATAGAGCTTGCTATATTTCAGTTTCTCATTCCTAAATATCATTGACCAAAAACCTTTTTCCTTTTTGAGGTTACAATGACCTTGGCCCCAGGGGGTCAAAAGGCAATCCTAAGCCTGGTATAAAAAACATTTTTTCTATTTTTAGTTTAAATGACCTTGACTCTAAGGGTTCCAAAAGCAATACTTAGCAAGGTCTTGACATAAACTCAATACATACCAAGTATTATAACAATATCTCATTCCTAACTTCAGAAACCATTTTTCTATTTTTGGTAACAGTGACTTTAACTCTAGGTCTTAATGCAACCCCATGAGAGGTCTTCATATAATCTTGCTAAATTATAAGTTTGATTACAATACTCTAATACAAATCTGGAAACCGACCAACAGACTGAACGACAAGCTCACTAATATATACCCCCCCCCCCCCCACTCCTAAACTCTTAGTTTGTTTCCTATAAAACACAAACACATGGCATAATACAATACAATCAATGTTAATTTTTCACATGCTGGGCATCATACTATGACAAACTTTCTCTAATGTTTCTTACTTCAAATTGGTTTGGTTACAAATGTAAAATAGGAAGTATTCATAAAACCTGTTCCTGTCCCAAATCTGATCATAAGCCAGATTTTTTTTTATCTAAGCCAGTGACCTATGAGCAAGTTTCATTAAAACTTGATAAACAAGACTTATTACCAGACAACACACTCTACTTTTCTCAGTGTTGCACTTTTCAACATGTGTGTGTCAATAGAAATACATTTGAGCAGTTGTATCACTAAAACTATGTACATTTCGGGAGATAATTTCAAAATTAGTGAAGATGGAGTTATGAATCTCATGCAGTGCAGTTTTTATCTCTTCATCACTTTTATCTATTAATATTATAACTTTCACTGGAACCTCTTATACTTTATTCTGTGGACAAGGACAATTCAGACCATGTTAAACTTTGACTTCTTAGTGTTACCTTGACCATGGCGGTAAGGGTCTGACTGTTGCGTATGACCATTGTCCAATTATACTGACTATTTGTGCCAATTATGATGGGAGAAAAAGACAAGAAATTTTCCCTCCATCACACAATGTTGTCATTTCATCTCCTAGCATGACCTTAATCTTGGAAGTAGGAGCTGGAGTGTTGTGTACTACATGTTGTATTTGTGTCAACTTATTTCAAAATACCTTAATGGATGAAAACCTTATGAACCTGACATGGAATATACCCTCTATCAGACAATGTTGAACTTAGATCTCCTACCGTGACCTTGACATACAAATATATATCTTGAAAAAGGATTGTAACTTTGCACACAAAAAAATAATTATAAGAGTAACTTCCCCATCTAAATGGTGTTTTATGATTATGAACATGTATACTGAGTTAGAAATTAATAGCTTTTATAGTTTCTAAGTAACCTGACATAAACAAAAGTGTTAACCAACGCCAACGCTTAGAAAGGGTCATGACAATAACTCCATCTTTTGAAGAAAAAGGTGGAGCTAAATGTGTGCTTTCTGTAGAATTCAAAAGGTGTTATTCTGATTTAACAGGGTGATCTAGCTTTTGGCCACAGATTCAATAATCTTATCCTGACGAAAACAAAGACTGACCAAATGTCATTGATGACTTGGTCAAACTGTGGTCCCTACAGCAGTTATAAGGTTTTAATTTTATTTGACATGATGACTTTGTATTTAATTCAAAATCAAATGACCAGGATATCATTTAAACAAACATTTTGACGATTTTTTGATGCTGAACAAAATGATCACTGTAACTAAACAGATATATCTCACCTTTTCTTTAAGACTGGCTAATTCCTCCTCATATCGTTTTATTTTATCTTCCATAGTGAGAACTTTGGCCTCCGATTCTTGTTTAGCTGTAAGTGCTGTCTCTAGTTTGGAACTCATTTCTCCCACTGACACTTCATTATCTTCAAATTTTGATTTCTCATTTAAAGTATCTGAAGAATAAAGATTTATATCAGTTGATTAAATTTTGATACTGAAAATATTGATTTCTTTTTTCATTATTCCAATTATTTTTAAACATGCATAAATTTAAGTAATATACATGTATACATTAATACAAGGGATGATCCAAAATAACCCAGAATCTTTTTTTTATATAATTTTAAGTGTGAACATTTCAATGTTGCCTTGATTAAATTTTTACATATGTTTAATTTAAAGGAACTCTGCTGAGGTCCAAAAATCTTAAAATATTAAAAATTGAATTTGTTACATGTCAACTGGGACACTTAAAACAGAAAGATATGGGAAAAAACAGATAATAAGAGGATATTTTTTCGTTTGCGTGAAATATGGTATATATTTTCACGAAACATGATAAATGCCACATATTTTCACGAGCCGGTACGGCGAGTGAAATATGTGGCATTTTATCATGTTGAGTGAAAATATATACCATATTTCACGAAAAACGAAAAAATAACCTTTTTATTTAATTTCATTATCAAAGAAAATGGTAACGAATCCCCTTGCTTGCTACCAACTGCAATTGTACAGCACGCAGTAATTTATGCGTAAGCACGCGCTGTTTGGCGCTACATTGTGACGTCATGTAAACAACTCTTTAAACGTCTGTACAGCGTTAATTACTGAATTAAAGATATTGGTGTTCGAATTAATTTTCTTAGTTAGACCATTTTCTATCATGCTAGATAGTTTTCAAAACAAAATTCAAGAAAAAGTTGTTTTGTATTTATCAAATTTTTCAAACAAAACGGCGAAAGAAGTCCCTTAAAATAAATATAAGTTTTGACTCCGCCCACTTTCATATTTATATTTCATATTTATTTTTAAAAAATATGAAATATATTTGACTGATATAGCACCATATTTCATGGGTAAAATTAAATAAACTTAGTTATTTTTTTGTGTGTGCTATTCTGCATGTTCTAAGCCTGGTTTGAGTGTAAAGTGTTAATAGCAACCAAATTTTTCAACATAGGAAAAGAAAAGAATATCAAGTTTAATAAAAATATTTTCAGTACTTTTTGCGTTAACAAGGAATCTATTTTTTGTGGACAGATAGACTTACTAACAGAGTAACATGCCACCAAATTGAGATAAAGGGCCATTTCTTTCATTATTTTCTTTTTTTTAATAGAGAGCCCCTTCCTCTACTGTTATTGAATAAACCCTATTGTTCTCTTTTGTTCGGTTTATAGTTAAGATGGCCCCCTATCCGTATTTGGTAGTGCAGACAAACACACCACACCCATAGGTCAAACCTTAAGTTCCTTCCAGTTAAACCCGAAGGCTCCCCCCAAAACACAAATGCTCCCCCCTTGTCAGTAATAAAATTTCCAAAATGTTTACCCACTCATTCAGTTTGGACAGAAATATTGCTAAAGATATTGTAAATGCAGTCATACAAGAATTTGTAACCGAGTTACCAACGTCCCCTGCATCAGGAAAGTTTTATATGAAGCATAAAATTGTGCTATTTCAAAAGATTGAGGTATGGATCTCAGGACTTTCAGTCCAAAATTATGATCAAAGCTAGATCTGCAAATGCAACAATAAATTTATTAAAGAAATAAAATGAAACACAGAATTTAAAAATCTATTATGTCAAGCTTTGACCTCTAAGTGCGACCTTGACTTTGGAGGTAGGGGTGCAGGTGTTGTGCCTGATATATCGTCTTATTATTGTAACTATTTGTGCCAAGTATTTTCAAAATCCCTTGAACTATGAAGAAGTTATAGATCAGACAAAAAATATACCTTATAACAGACTATGTTACTCTTTGACCTCTAAGTGTGACCTTGACCTTGAAGGTAGGGACACAAGTGTTAGGCATGACATATCATCTTATCATTGTGACTATTAATGCCAAGTATTTTCAAAATCCCTTAATCTATGAAGAAGTTATGGACAGGGACACAAAATAAACCATAAAACAGACTCTGCTAACATTTGACCTCCAAGTGTGACCTTGACCTTGGAGGTAGGGGTACAGGTGTTGTATTATTATTGTGACTATTTGTGCCAATTATTTCAAAATCCCTTGAACTATGAAGAAGTTGTAGATCGGACACAAAATATACCCTATAACAGACTGTGTTAATTTTTTACCTCTAAGTGTGACCTTGACCTTGGAGGTAGGGATGCAGGTGTTGCACATGACACATCCTCTTATTATAGTGACTATATGTGCGAAGTATTTACAAAATCCTTTAATCTATGAAAAAGTTATGGACCGGACACAAAATATACCCTTTAACAGACTATGTTAATCTTTGACCTCAAAGTGTGACCTTGACATTGGAGGTAGGTGATCAGTTTTTGCACATGACACACTGTCTGATTATTGTGAACAATTGTGGCAAGTTTTTACAAAATCCCTTCATAGATAAGAAAGTTATGGACCGGACACAACATATACCCTCAAATAGACAATGTTGACCTTGAATGAGCAAGTGCGATCTTGACACTGGAGGTAGGGGTCTGGTTGTTGAGCATGACACATCATCTTATTATAACAAAAATTTGTGCCAAGTTATTTCAAATTCCTTTGATAAATGACAAAGTTATGGACCAGACACGAAAGTGTGACAGACAGATGGACTACTTCTATATCCCCCTTTTTTCTTCAAAAAGGCGGGGGACAATAACTTGACTAAGTCATGATCTTTTGTTGTGAAAAAAGGATGTTGATACTCAATGAAATGAAAAATAAACAATTAACCTATAAAAGTTTATCAAATATATATAAATGCAAGGCCTTGACATTGAACCCAGTGACCTCCAACTCTATTGTTAGCACAGGTAACCTTGACCTTGTGACTCCCAACATTAGACTATCAATGTCATATTTCAGCATGTCAAATGAAAGACAATGTGCCATAATTTGAAAAACATGGTAGCTGTCTACTGTAGGCTCTTGGATTTGCTGAATTAAAGATTTTTAAAGTTTTTTACAAAAAAAAACATATAATGAAAAGCCATGACTTCTGATGGGTGGGACCAATTTTGACCAGGGCTACTCTTTAACAATCTTGGTAGAGGTCTACTAGAAAATGTTTTGGGCCAAAAATCTAAAATAACCTTTGAAATTTGAAGCAGTTTTTTTTTTAATTTCTACTTTCTACTGGCCTATTAGACATATTTCATGACAAATATCTCAGCTCTAACCTTTCAAGTTTCTGAGGAGAAGACTTTTTTAACAAGAGCTGTCACAGGAGACAGCGAAGCTCGACTAATGAAATACTGGACGCAGTAAGGAGGACAAAACTATGAAAGAAAAATCAATTATGTATAATTATGTATTAAGTTATAGTAAAAAAATAATATTTGTTAACATAAATTCCAAGATCAAGGGGCATAATTCTAGAAATAGTCATGCTAGAGTTATGGACCTTGTCACACAACATTTGTGTAATGATAAGAAATATATATTTGAAGTTTGAAGTAGATACCTTAAAAAGAAAAGAAGTTATTATATTTCTTAAAGAAAATCCTAAGTTCAAAGAGAGATAAATCTGTAAATATTGCATCAAGAGTTATGAACAATGTCACATAAAATGTAATTGTTGATAAGGAATAAGTATTTGAAATTTGAGGTAGATACCTTTAAAAATAAAAAAGTTATAATAAGAAATAACATTTTTCTAGTAAAAAAATCTAAGTTTATGGGGAGATAATTCTTGCAATATTGGTGCTAGAGTTATGAACCTTGTCACATAAGATGTGGATGATGATAACGTAAACATATTTGAAGTATGAAGTTGATCCCTTTAGAAATAAATAAATAACAGAAAAAAAAATATTTTTTATGGAAAATTCTAAGTTCAAAGGGAGATAAATCTGAAAATATTGGTGCTAGAGTTATGAACCTTGTAACATAAGATGGGGATGATGATAATGTAAGTACATTTGAAGTATGAGGTTGATCCCTTAAGAAATAAAGAAGAAAGAGTAAGAAATAGTACTTTTTGAGGAAAATTCTAAGTTCAAGGGGAGATAAATCTGAAACTATTGGTGCTAGAGTTATGAACCTTGTCACATAAGATGGGGATGATGATAAGGTACATATATTTGAAGTATGAGGTTGATCCCTTACGAAATAGGGAAGTAACAGTAAAAAATAGTATTTTTTAAGGAAAATTCTAAGTTCAAGGGGAGATAAATCTGAAAATATTGGTGCTAGAGTTATGAACCTTGTCACATATGATGTGGTTGATGATAAGGAACATATATTTGAAGTTTGAAGTTGATACCTTAAGAAATGACAAAGTTATAGTGAAAAATATTTTACTGCACCAAAACTTTAATCTAAAATCTGGACGCGGACGCGGATGCCGACGCCGACGCCGGGGCGAGTAGGACAGCTCTCCATATACTTCGTATAGTTGAGCTAAAAATTGTATGTACATAGTGAAAACCTATAACCCATAAGGCAGGGCCCATTTTAACCCCAAGGCTATAATTTGGAAGGGATCCACATGACAATGTTTCATGCTAAATATCTAAGTTATAGCCATTGTAAATTGCAGGAGAATTATTTTTAACTTTTACTTTATGTTAATTGGGAAAACCTATGATTCCCCCTGGTCCAGACAAACTTCAACCCCAGAAATGTAATGTCAACAATCTTGGTATAGGTCCACTAGACAATGTTTCATGCAATATATCTAATCTCTCGCCCTTGTAGTTTTGAAGCAGATTTACCAAAGAAACAATCCTGGCAAGTTAGGTTGGCAGATGCTGCAGTGGCATAAAAAGTGTTTGAAGTTTTTGGTTTCAGACATGTTTGTGACAAGCATAGTTCTTTCTTTTCACATTTTTCCGCCACTACATTATTCATCTTTGAAATGCAATGACTTATCAAGCTGCAGTTTTTAAAACAAGCCAGTTTGATCTACAGTGAAAATGTTACTGAGTTCATAGTGATAATGATATTAGACTATTTCTCTCTGCAATACTGTACAATATTATTATCAACAGAGTTACTGTGAAAAATGTTAAAATATACAGTCTTTCTACACTCTTTAAACTGATATTTATTTCATGCTTTAAAATCAATGTTCCCTAATTTTTCAGCCAAAGATTCAGCTTGAGTAGCTAATACTGGTCCAGTCTTTGGCACACCTGTGTGCTATGGGCTGCTGAAAAACACATGTATAAAGCTTCTTCAATACCTGTAATTCACTAAATCAGAATCATTTCTGTCTTGACTGAAAAAAATTCTTCTTTTATTTTTGAATATTGTACTTCACCTGTTTAAGGCTATTTCATGTTTTATAGCAAGATCAGTCTTGGAACAAAATTTAGAATTTCAGATGTAATGATACTGCTTTACATCTTTTATTGTTAACATACATTTTTAATTTCTTTGATAAAATTTATAATTTATTTTATGCCTTTCATTGAATTACTGATTTATCCGTGAAAATTATATTTGATAACTTCACAGTGAAAATTATCAAAATATAATTTCACACCTTTCAATGATGAGACTACTTTTTAAAGATTTTCCCCATGTTGTACGTCAGTTTTATTTTTGTTGACAATTCTGACACTGTCGGAGCTGTTTAGAGAAAAGCAAAGCCGAAACTGATAAATAACTTAAATTTCGAAAGTAACTAAAAGAAGAAAACTAACTTCAATTCATTCAAATTACTAATCACCAAATATTGTCTCTTAATTTTTTGTTTCATTTTTACAGTCTGAAAAAAACAATTCCTTCCACGCGCAAAACTGCTCTTAATGGCATTTGGGCATATTTAAGTATCCTACCAGCAATAACTGCCTAATGCAATATGAAAACTTGAAAAGCAATGACAGCCATCAGCCGAAGAATAAGTAAACAACGTTTGTTAGGCAGCCCTTCAACAATTCCATGTTTTCCAATTTACTAGCCGCTTTTTGAATGATTACACATCTGTCAACACTTTTTTATTGTATGTAACAATCCTCGAATAAGTTTTCTTTCTTATAAAAAGATGTATGACTAACAAATCCAAATAATATCCTTCTGAATCAAACACAATTATTTTCCTCCCGTGAAATACACAACTTTTAAAAATGGGGGCAGCTAACATTACCCAAAGCCTGGTTTAATATAAATTTTCCGTAAGTAACGGAAATAAGGTCTGTTGGTGTGACTTTTTTTTCTACTAGAATTGTTTGTTTTTATTATAAAAACAAGTGATCACTCATATTTTTTTAATAAAAGAAACAATATCCTCGCAATTTAACGTTGATTGTCGAAATTATTTTTCAGCTCAAGACTTCTTGTATTTTATGAGAAATTCGACCAAAATTAGGCTACCAGTGGGGAAAACAGATTTTAATATTAAAGTTAATATTAAAGAAACTTCATTTAAACTTGTTTTTATGCATAAAATAAAAAGAAAATTTGTTTGTTTATTGTGTAAGATATAAACAAACAAATATCCTCTATGTAAATGTGTATTTTTTTACGAATACTGAACAACAGGTAAAATAACTAGAGGATGCTTTTGTAAAAAAGCGCATGTCTCCCCCACTGCTGAGAATAACTGTGAATGGAAACAGGAATGGAACTGGAGAAATCCGGAAATGAGAAAATGACCAATGGTCACTGTGACCTTAACCTTTGACCTACTGACCCCATAAACAAGAGGGATCATCTGCTCAATAAGACCAATCATCCTATGAAGTTTGAGGGTTGTAGGTCTAAAGGAACTCTAGTTATCATCCGGAAAGGAGAAATTAAACCAACGGTCGCTGTGACCTTGACCTTTGACCTACTGACCATTAAAACAATAGGGATCATTTGATTAATAAGACCAATCATCCTATGAAGTTTGAGGGTTGTAGGTCAAAAGGAACTCTAGTTATCATCCGGAAATGAGAAATTGACCAACGGTCACTGTGACCTTGACCTTTGACCTACTGACCCCAAAAACAATAGGGATCATCTGCTCTATAAGACCAATCATCCTATGAAGTTTGAGGGCTGTAGGTCAAAAGGAACTCTAGTTATCATCCGGAAACGAGAAATTGACCAACGGTCACTGTGACCTTGACCTTTGAACTACTGACCCCAAAAACAATAGGGATCATCTGCTCAATAAGACCAATCATCCTATGAAGTTTGAGGTCTGTAGGTCTAAAGGAACTCTAGTTATCATCCGGAAACGAGAAATTGACCAACGGTCAGTGTGACCTTGACCTTTGACCTACTGACCCCAAAAACAATAGGGATCATCAGCTCTATAAGACCAATCATCCTATGAAGTTTGAGGTCTGTAGGTCTAAAGGAACTCTAGTTATCGTCCGGAAACGAGAAATTGACCAACGGTCAGTGTGACCTTGACCTTTGACCTACTGACCCCAAAAACAATAGGGATCATCAGCTCTATAAGACCAATCATCCTATGAAGTTTGAGGGCTGTAGGTCAAAAGGAACTCTAGTTATCGTCCGGAAACGAAGAATGGACGGACTGACGGACTGACGGACGGACTGACGGACTGACGGACAGGGCAAAAACAATATGTCTCCCCCCGAGGTGGGGGAGACATAATAACCGTTACATGGTTGTTTTCACTTAAAGATGTTTTTTGTAATAACATTTCATCACCTTGACAACATTTTAGCCCATAGCATAAGAAACAGTGTAACCTTTAATCAATAATCTGATAACTGCTCCCTTAACTGACCACTGTTTTTGTAAGACTTATGCAGACATCCTGCTAAATGTATGACGTTGTTAAACTGATCTCTCTATAAACAGTATGAAACGACACATATACCCCCCTTTCTAGCCATTGACTCACATAATTGGTAATTTTATTACAGAAAATTGCCAAAAATGGGTACATGGAAGTGTTCAATTAGGGAAAAATCAACGAAAACCCTTTTGACATTTAAGGCCCCTGTGACCTTGACCTTTGACCTAGTGACCCCAAAATCAATAGGGGTCATGTACTAGTTATGACCAATCACTATGTGAAATATGAAGACTTTGTGATACACACTTTTCAAGATAATCAGCGGAAACCATTTTGACATTTAAGGCCCCTGTGACCTTGACCTTTGACCTAGTGACCCCAAAATCGATAGGGGTCATCTACTAATGATGACCATTCACTATGTGAAATATGAAGACTTTGTGATACATACTTTTCAAGATAGTCAGTGGAAACCATTTTGACATTTAAGGCCCCTGTGACCTTAACCTTTGACCAAGTGACCCCAAAATCAATAGGGGTCATCTACTAGTGATGACCAATCACTATGTGAAATATGAAGACTTTGTGATACATACTTTTCAAGATAATCAGCGGAAACCATTTTGACATTTAAGGCCCCTTTGACCTTGACCTTTGACCTAGTGACCCCAAAATCAATAGGGGTCATCTACTAGTAATGATCAATCTTTGAGTGAAATATGAAGACTTTGTAATACATACTTTTCAAGATATTCACTTGAAATTATTTTGACATTTAAGTTCCCTGTGACCTTGACCTTTGACCTAGTGACCCAAGAAACAATAGGGGTCATCTACTAGTTATGACCAATCACTATGTGAAATATGAAGACTTTGTGATAAATACTTTTCAAGATAATCAGCAGAAACCATTTTGACATTTTAAGGTCCCTGTCCCCTTGACCTTTTACCTAGTGACCCCAAAATCAATAGGGGTCATGTACTAGTGATGACCAATCACTATGTGAAATATGAAGACTTTGTGATACATACTTTTCAAGATAATCAGCGGAAACCATTTTGACATTTAAGGCCCCTGTGACCTTGACCTTTGACCTAGTGACCCCAAAATCAATAGGGGTCATCTACTAGTGATGACCAATCAATATGTGAAATATGAAGACTTTGTGATACATACTTTTCAAGATAATCAGCGGAAACCATTTTGACATTTAAGGCCCCTGTGACCTTGACCTTTGACCTAGTGACCCTAAAATCAATAGGGGTCATCTACTAGTGATGACCAATCAATATGTGAAATATGAAGACTTTGTGATACATACTTTTCAAGATAATCAGCGGAAACCATTTTGACATTTTAAGCCCCTGTGACCTTGACCTTTGACCTAGTGACCCCAAAATCAATAGGGGTCATCTACTAGTTATGACCAATCACTGTGTGAAATATGAAGACTTTGTGATACATACTTTTCAAGATAATCAGCGGAAACCATTTTGACATTAAGGTCCCTGTGACCTTGACCTTTGACCTAGTGACCCCAAAATCAATAGGGGTCATCTACTAGTAATGACCAATAACTATGTGAAATATGAAGACTTTGTGATAAATACTTTTCAAGATAATCAGCGGAAACCATGTGGTCGACCGACGGACAGACGGACAGACCGACGGACAGACCGACATTAGCAAAACAATATACCCCCTTTTCTTCGAAGGGGGGCATAACAAAATAGAAATAGGGAGGAAATGGCTTGGACTTGGCAGACTATATTTTAAAAGTGAAACCTTGTTTAAACCAAATTTCTACAATTTCAAGCATTCGAGTCTCAAAATTTAAATGTTTGTCCTTTTATATGTATTGCAGCTTATTTATTGTGGTTTTACTTACTTAACAATGGTTCTACATCTATTTCAAATCTCCTGGTCAATCTAAAATCTGGATCAGCACCAGATTTGTGCAGAACAATCTGTGTAACACATTCCTCTATTAACTTGTAGTACTGTGGCCTGAAATACAGTAATAATGATTGTGTAAACATTTCATTCAACACACACTAGGGCTGTTACAAATACTCAAATATTCATTTACTTATTAACATTTTCTAAAACTCAGTGATAGATTGTAGATAGCTGACATAGACCATGAATTATCACATATAAAACTAGACTACTTCAAACTATGATAATTATACATGTTCATAAAATAACAAGCAATTATCATAGTATTGCAAGCAATCCATAAGTCCCCTACCGGTTAGAACCCCATCAACATTCTGAAGGGCCATTGGCCATTCACTAATGTTTCAATTTTTCTCTATTTTAAAAAAATTTGTTGGAAAAGTTCTTTAAAAGTGATCACAGGATACAGTTTTTATGAACAGACAGACAGACGGACTGAAAGACACTCTAAAGTTAATATTTGAAACATCCCTGTTACCAAAATATACCATTTTAAAAGCAAAATTCTTAAAGAGGAGATAACTCTTGAATTAAAGATGCAATTTCATAAAAATGTTCAGCTCTTTTTGACTAATCACAAATATTGTTATATTTGCCATGTTTTAAGCCTATTTGTTGCCAAGGCAACTGATATTTTTTCAAAATAGGAAGAACAGATAAGGCATGCATAATCTCAAGACTGCTATCTACCCATATGTCAAGTTTTATAAAAATATTTCCAGTACTTTTTGAGTTATCACTGGATTCAGTTTACGTGTAAAATTTGCCATATTTTCAGTCTATGTGTTGCCATAGCAACCAGAATTTTCAACATAAGAAGAAAAGAAAAAAACGTGCATAATTTCAAGACTGCCATCTACCCATATGTCAAGTTTCATAAAAATATTTCCAGTACTTTTTGCCTTATCACTGGATCCAGTTTATGTGTAAAATTTGCCATATTTTCAGCCTATTTGTTGCCATAGCAACCAGAATTTTCAACATAGGAAGAAAAGAAAAAGACATGCATAATCTCCATACTGCCATCTATCCATATACCAAGTTTCATAAAAATATTTTCAGTACTTTTCAAGTTATCGCGGGATCCAGTTTTGCGGACGGACGGACTGACGGACGGACAGACGGACGGACAGACAGACGGACAAACGGACGGACAGACGGTCGGAGGGTAAACCTAAAGTCCCCTCCGGTAAACCGGTAGGGGACTAACAACTACAAAAGTTGGCCATATTACATGATTCTCTTTAATCATGCAAAGTTTAGGAAAATTCTCTGCTCTAGTTTAAATTTTCCTTCTTTGCCTTTTTTAAAAGAATGCACAACTCGAAGAAACATCTTCAAAAGATCTAGAATTTTATAGAGCTGATATGAAGCAATTGGCTGACATTTAACCTTCAAGTGTGATCTTGAGGCAGCACAAGGGTCATTTAGTTGCTGTCATATTTGACAGATGGAGAGTAATCATATTAGCTCACCTTGAACTTGTACTCAGGTAAGCTTAATAAATAAATCTAAATCATCATCAAATCTATTTTTGAGAGACAATTAAATATTACCTGGCATATAAATCATCTCTGACACAAAGTAAATGCTGCATGATAGACAGAAAATATGGTCCCGCCACTGTGTCTTTTACTGAGTTATGTACAATATGAAAACATTGTTCTGCATCTGTATCCATAGTTAAGGAGAATAATTGTATCATATACTAACTACAAACTCTATAATAGAATCATATTACAGTAGAACTTTGGTAAATCGAAGTTGAAGGGACTTGCGTAACAACACATCAAGACTTCGACTAATGAATTCATTGGTCTAAATTTACTGACAAAATTTTAAGCCGTTGACTTATACATGCAAGTTACAAAAGGCGTAACAATAGGAAAGGGCGATAACTAAACCAGTTTTAAGTAAATATATCCCATGTGATTATCAGGCAACAATGTGTCACGGAAGTTCTCAAAAGAAAAGTAGTTCTTACTGTTTACTTTCAAATACCACTACAGCCATTTGAATGGTAACAATTAATTTGATAAAGCACTTTATCACACATTTAAATGCAAACAAAGGCTGTTAGAACACATGGCTGTGTAATTAACACCTGTCATACAAGTTGATCTGAAATCATCTTCACTGCCAGAAAAAGTATGGAAAATGTCTCGAGATCAAAGGTGTCAAAAGAATATAAAATTTTGACACATATATATGTTTTTATAAGGAATATATATGAGGAAAAATTGGGACTTTCATTTAACTTCGACACATCAAGAAAATCGACTAATCAAAGTTCGACTCATAGAAGTTCTTCTGTATTTTAAATGTGTTAGTGCTCAAGTTACACCAACACAAACTTAGTTAATCTGTGTTTGCTCATAAATCTAACATTAAACCAGAACTCTAAAACTAAATTCAGTCAGTTTGATACAATTAAAGAGGCTAGTCTGTCATCAAACTATTTCAATGTAATTTTTAATGCCTCCATTTGACTCTGTTCATTCATAATAGAACAAATACCTGAAAAATATCAGATATTTGTCTGATTTACATTGGTATTGAAATAGCATTGCTTCCATTTGTTTTGTTTGTACTGTAAAGTTTTTAATATAAGTATGGCCATCAAAATGATAAACTTTTAATATAAGTATGATGCTGGTATGGCAATCAAAATGACAAACTATGATTGTAACATATGTAAAATAGAAAGTTAGCATGAGGTTAAAGAGAAAGGATATTCAAAGTCAAGCCTGGCATTATCATATCTGTGTGAGAATTCTTCATAATCTTCATCAGTATGGTCGTGGAAAATCTGTAAATGTGTCCGTAATTCACTGTCTTTTGAATTATCTAATGTCTGCAAAAACCAGAAAAAAACACTTTATAAATCATTGTCAATAATACTCATTAAGAAACCATAAAATATAATAATCATAAGCTTAATGTTTTGAAACAAAAAAACTTTAAATACCAAACAAGTAAATTTGTACTTCTACAAAGATGTCTAGATTATATCTGTTCATCAAAATTTCATTTCCTAATGGAAATACTCTTCAATTTAATTTCATTTTTTTATGTTTCTAAAATAAACACGACTTAAACTTTATATAACATCTGACAATTAGCACATGCATGTTGAAAAACCAAATTAGGTACAGTTTAAGCAGAAATGTTCTTCTTGAAATGTCACTTGTATAAATTATGATATAATTATGATATTATGTCAAAGTATATGTGTAATTCAGCAGATATCAACAATTGTCCTTAAACAACTATAAATATAAATCTGGAAATATCAACTTACTAAAAGTAAATCTACCAAACCCGTTCTCATAAATTCATTGCGGAGATGTAACCGAAAGTCAAGATCTTCTGGTGTGGAGACAAGGGCATTGACCAGCTGTATACAGGCAACCTGCATTGCCTGGTTATCTCTCATCCCTAGACCCATAATAATTGGCACAAATCGCTCTTGATTTCGTATTTCTCCACATACTGTAATTCCTTCTAACGCTTTTTCATGACTGAAATAAATTAAAGTTAAAATTAAGTAAATATCAACTACAATATGTATATAATTTTAGTGTAAACAAGAGCCATTTTACACATGGTTGATCACCTCACTGGGAAGAAGTTAACCCAGAGGTCGTGCTTTGGTACATTTAACTTAGAGAAAGAAAATCCTTAAAAAGCCCTATAGTTGTGGCCATGCTAAGTACAGTTTTAAAGTAAGTGGGAAAAGAATAAGGCACTGAAGAAAAGGTTAGCATAATTATTAGTAACATATATGTGATTTATTTATCTAGCTTTAATTTATATGTAATGTTTTTACTTTGTTTTATTTATGTCAGTGTATTTAGTCAAGTACATTTGGAGTTTGCTGAGGAAATTCTTTTTCAAGTAAATCTGATAATGGGGAATAACTAAAAGCAAGGTAGTTATTGTTCTTGTCCACAGCACCTCCTAAAATGTGCTATGTCAGTGTAATCTGTTTGAAAAAAATCCCTAGTTTTAAAAACTTTAGGAGTTATGCTTTTGACAAAGTTTTTTCAAATAAATCTGATAAAAGAAGTATAACCCTTAAAGTAAGAAGGGTAGAGTTATTGAACTTTCTCCCAATGTGCTCTGTCAGTGTAAGTACTTTTGGAGTTATGCTCCATACAAAGTTTTTAAAGTAAATATGATAAACTGGTTAACTCTAAAAGAAGGTAAGATAAAGTAATTGTTTTTGCACCATGTACTGCCTCCCAATGTCATTTTAGTATAATTATTCAGTTTGAAGAAATTCCCACATGTATTTTTGGAGTTATGCTTCTCACAAAGTTTTTTTTACATAAATCTGGTAAAGGGGAAGAACTCTATAAGAAGGCAAGAAAGAGTTACTGTACTTGCACATTGCACTTCCTCCCAATGTGCTCTGTCAGTGTATGAAGTTTGAAGAAATTGCTCACATACTTTTGGATATACACTACAGACAAAATTCAGACTGACATAAAGATGCAAAAACAATTTCTAATATTCCCTCTGCCTTTGGTAAGGGATGAATGTACTGGTGTTGGTTGTGTTCACTCCAGATCACGGCAGTAAGCAACATTGAAATTACAAGAGCACATTTCAGTTACCTGGTTTGGCCAGGGGATAAATTAAGCAACAATTTATACTGAACAAATACTGATAAAACATACACTATGCCAAGTTTCCATAAAATTCAACAAACCAAATTCAGACAGACAGACAGACAGACAGACAGACAGACAATGCCATTTCCATATCCTCCTGATTGGAGTGTTGAGGGATAACTAGGGTAGGCCAGACAGAATAATCATTTGACTAAAGAATTACCCGTCCCAAACCAATAAATTATGCAATTTTTTAGTGACATAAAACACAAGAAACACCAGTTTATTATTAATAAAGATAACATCTTCAAGTAAAAACTCCAATATTTCTTTTCATTATAGATAGGTCTTAATTAATACAAATTTTACTGATTCATAACAAACAGAAAATATACCCATTAGGTGGAACAAGGCATACAGCAGCCAGCAGTCTCACAGCTTCTAACATAGTCATTGTGTCTGATGGATCCATTGTTCTAGAAAGTATTGTTAGAGCCTCCTCATGCTTGATTATCTCCATCAAACCAAACTATCAAAATATCATATGAAAATATTATATTATAGCCTATACATACAAAACATATCACAACATAATTTTAAAAAGAAAAGAGTGAACATTAAAATAGATTTTGTAAGCAATCAACTTTTTAACCATTTTGTATAAAAATAAGGACATGTTTGGTAAACACAAATGCCTCTGGTCCAAATTCTTGTCAGTAACAGGTTTTCAAGGTTTTCCCTTTCACTCAGTTTATTGACGGAAAAATTGACAAAAAATTGTTAACTTGACAGAGTCATGACGTTTCGTTATTCTGAAAAATATAAGTTGGCATGTCATTGCTCTTTGATGAGGGTGAAAAATATTCAACTTACAAATAAAAATTTACCATAACTTGACCTTGAACTCGATGACCTAAACTCCATCCAAACTTAAAGAAAACCAACTGAGGTATGTTCCTTCTCGTGTAAAAAATATAATTTTAGCACAGGTGACATTGACCTTGTGACTCCCAAAACTTAATTAGGAAGTCATTGGTACAGGTTGAACTGAAGATAAATCCACTTGCAGGGTTCGGTTAAACAAGTACAGACAGGTGACGGTTCAATCACTCTATGCCAGGGGCATAAAAAAACTCATTTAAATTCATATTACAAGAATAATTAAATCATCTCACGATAATCAAATCCAGGCTATTTAAATGCCTGTCAATATGAGTAAGAGCAAAAAAAACATACTGTATTATTCATATATGCTTTCAAACAACGGACACATTCATATGTAGCCTTCCTCTCCGACCTCCTGAAATATTACAAAGATCTTTTACTTATGTGGTCTAACAGGTCATTTATTATAAAATATTTAGTGATAAATATATCATTCAAACATATGTGCATTTACAAAACAAAAACATCCATAAAGAATTCTGTGAACACAATCCAAAGAAATATGTATTTATTGGGTGGTACACATATAAGTTCCTCCAAGTGTATATTGATCTCATTTGTTTAATATTTAAACCTACAACAATCTAAATGATCTTTAATTGGTAATTTAGACTAAATTTGCACAAAATGCATCAAACATAGAAGTGAAACAAGCTGATAGAACATTTAGTTGGATAACTTTAAGCTTTATCCAAAACCTAATTCACTTTGAAAAATAATTTTCAAAATTCAGCCTTTTACCATATTATTTCTAAACATGAAATAAAAATGAGCCGTGCCATGACAAAACCAACATAGTGGGTTTGTGACCAGCATGGATCCAGGATCAGGATCCATGCTGTTCGCTATTAGTTTCTTTACTTGTTATAGGGTCTGTAAGCGAACAGCATGGATCCTGATCAGACTGCGCGGATGCGCAGGCTGGTCTGGATCCATGCTGGTCGCAAAACCATTATGTTGGTTTTGTCGTGACGCGGCTCAAATTTATAATAAAAATAATGGTATTAACATACGAGTCACAGCAATATGTCAGATTTCTGAGAATGGCATTAAGACCTGCTACACCAAAATCCTCTACCCAGCTGAAATATACAATTGTTAAGAATAGTAATAACAACAACAAATACCAAAACAGCCACCGCCTAGTGGGGCGACACTTGTTTTACTTCTTATTTCCAAAGTCAAACACATGGGAGGAAGAGAACTGTAGTAAAGAAAACTAAAAACAAATACCCACCTAATATTCATGTACAAATGTAACATATATTTCAAATTTAACCTTGAGGGTCAAGGTTATATTTGAATTATAAAACATACAGGTTTTGTTATAAGGCCTCTTTTAACATAAAGACTCAATAACTCAATATAAACGTCTGGTTCTGAATGGTGTGTTGTATAAATCAAATTTAATGGATATATACAAGAGGGTCATGATGACCTTGGATAGCTCAACTGAGATACAAAAGGTCACAATTCTTTGACGCTAACATCAGAACTTTGTGCACATTAGGTTGCCATTTTTGGCTCAAGCTGTACAATTATAAAAACATTTGTGGATATTCACTAACAACCAACATGCAAGATATCAAAGCATCGACAATGTAATTTCACAAAGGGAGACTTAAATGTGTTTACTGTAACAGTCTTTCAAAAATAAGATACACAAAGGCTTGACATTTTTGATCACCTGTGCATGATTTAAGACCATTTTTAAATTTTAGCAACAGTGACTTTGACTCACTTGACCCTTAAAGCAATCACAAGTAAGATCCCAACATAAGCTTAATAAAGTAAAAGCCAATCTGAATCATAGCCAATTTTATCAAGATTGAAGGAATTAGGTCATTTGTGGGTCAAGGTCTAATAATGTTATGATATGTCCAAGTAAACATCATGACAATAACTCATGTCAAATTTTCTGATAACTGGTTGAGCGTTTTTGGAGACAGACAGACATCCAGATGGATAGAGATCCTCAACCTGGTATACATCCCTCATAAATTTCATTGTGCCAGGAGTATAACAAACTTAACATGAATGCACTTAAGTCTATATGAATCTAATATTATATGTACATTATGACTTCACTTCTTACAATCTATTTCAATGGTTACACTACTTCATCAAATGTTTTATAAATCAAAGTGAAAAGATAAATGAACTTTGCATTACCTTACTGGATTACTTGTTAATGATACTCTCAAAGACTCTAACACTTTCAGTCTTTTCTCTCCTTTAAGGTCAGCATTCCTCAACTCTGTTACAAAACTGCTAGGTGAGTCCAGCTCACCCTATAATAAATACAAATAACAAACATCAGAATGACACCTTGAAATAAATGAGGAACTTGTTAAGTGGAGCATAGAAAAATACAGCCTGGTTAAAATCAAGCGGACAAGCTTTTTTTAGTCAAGGCCCCTGTGACCTTGACCTAGTGGCTTCAAATCAATAGGGGTCACCTAATGGCCATAATCAACCTCGATGCCAAATATGAAGATTTTGGGTCAAAGGTTTCTTAAGTTATTGGATGGACAAACTTTTTTTAGTCAAAGTCCCTGTGACCTTGACCTTTGACCCAGTGACCTCAAAATCAATAGGGGTCACCTACTAATCATGACTAACCTCCATGACAAATATGAAGACTGTGGGTCAAAGGAATCTTAAGTTATTGGGCAGACAAGCTTTTTGAAGTAAAGGTCCCTGTGACCTTGATCTTTGACCTAAAAATCTAAAGGGATCATCTATTAATCATAAACAATCTAAATACCAAATATGAAGACTGTGGGTCAAAGGAATCTTAAGTTATTGGGTGAACAAGCTTTATAAAACCAAGGCCCCTGTGACCTTGACCTTTAACCCAGTGACCTCAAAATCAAAAGAAATGATCTACTTATCATAATCAATCTAAATACCAAATAAGAAAACTGTGCGTCAAAGGAATCTTAAGTTATTGGGCGGACAAGCTTTTTGAAGTCAAGGCCCTGTGACCTTGACCTTTGACCAAGTGACCTCAAAATCAATAGGGATCATCTACCAACCATGATCAATCTAAATACCATATATGAAGACTGTGGGTCAAAGGAATCTTAAGTTATTGGGTGGACAAGCTTTTTGAAGTCAAGGCCCCTGTGACCTTGACCTTTGACCCTGTCACTTCTAAATCAAAAGTGGTCATCTATTAATCATGACCAATCTAAATACCAAATATCAAGACTGTGGGTCAAAGGAATCTTAAGTTATTGGGCAGACAAGCTTTTAGAAGTCAAAGCCCTGTGACCTTGCCCTTTGACCCGGTGACCTCAAAATCAATAGGGATCATCTACTAACCATGACCAATCTAAATACTAAATATCAAGACTGTGGGTCAAAGGAATCTTAAGTTATTGGGTGGACAAGCTTTTTGAAGTCAAGGCCCCTGTGACCTTGACCTTTGACCCAGTGACTTCAAAATCAATCGGGATCATCTACTATCCATGACCAATCTAAATACCAAATATGAAGACTGTGGGTCAAAGGAATCTTAAGTTATTGGGCGGATAAGGAAAAACAGATGGCCGGACGGACAAGCTGATTCCAGTTTACAGTACAGATAACAAGGAATATGCTTATTTCTGCGAGAAACAATTAATTACAACAAGAGGGCCATGATGGCCCTGAGGTCGCTCACCTGTATATAGGCCCCCCCCCAAACGTTGCAGGGCCAATTTAACCAAAGGGCTTTTATTTGCACAAACTTGGTAGACACCCATAAGAAGATGTTTCATGCTTAACATCTAAGCTCTAGCTCATTGGGCTATTTAAAAGAAGATTTTTTTTAAGTTTTTACTATACACATATAGTTAAAAACAATGACACCCCTGGGGCCGGGCCAGTTATGACCCAAGGGTTTTTATTTGAACAAACTTTGTAAACACTTACTAGAATATGTCTCATGCTTAATATCTAGACTCTAGCTATTTGGGTTTTTTCAAAGAAGATTTTAAGTTTTTGCTATACACATATAAGGAAAATCAATGACCCCCAGGGCGGGGCCAATTTTGACCCCAGGTCTTTTATTTGAACAAACTTTGTAGACACTCACTAAAAGATGTTTCATGCTTAATATCTTAACTCTAGCTATTTGGGTTTTTTCAAAAAAGATTTTTTAAGTTTTTGCTATACACATATAAGGAAAATCAATGACCCCCGGGGCGGGGCCAATTTTGACCCCAGGGCTTTTATTTGAACAAACTTGGTAGACACCTATTAGAACATGTTTGATGCTAAATATCTTAACCATAGCTCTTTGAGTTCTTTAAAAGAAGATTTTTTAAGTTTTTACTATATGCATATATAGGGAAAATCAATGACCCCCCGGGGCGGGGTCAATTTTGACCCAAGGGCTTTTATTTGAACAAACTTGGTAGACACTTATTAGAACATGTTTAATGCTAAATATCTTAGCTCTAACTCTTTTGGTTCTTTAAAAGAAGATTTTTTAAGTTTTTACTATATGCATATAGGGAAAATCAATGACCCCCTGGGGCGGGGCCAATTTTGACCCCAGGGCTTTTCTTTGAACAAACTTGGTAGACACCTATTAGAACATGTTTGATGCTCAATATCTAAGCCATAGCTCTTTGAGTTCTTTAAAAGAAGATTTTTTAAGTTTTTACTATATGCATATAGGGAAAATCAATGACCGCCCGGGGCGGGGCCAATTTTGACCCCAGGGCTTTTATTTGAACAAACTTGGTAGACACTCACTACAAGATGTTTCATGCCAAATATCTAAGCTCTAGCTCTTATGGTTTTTTTAAAGAAGATATTTAAAGTTTTTTCTTTCGGTTGCCATGGCAACCAGAGTTCTGCATGGAATTAAATTCTTTGAACTGTTTTTAAAGGTGACCACCAAAGGAACATTCCTGTGAAGTTTGGATGAAATTGGCCTTGTGGTTTATGAGGAGATGTCATTTAAAGTAAGTTTACGGACGACGGACGGACGACGGACGCCGGACGAAAAGCGATCACAAAAGCTCACCCTGTCACTTTGTGACAGGTGAGCTAAAAAGCGTGACGCCGACTAGATTATAAATTTCTCGTACACAAAAGAGTGACTCCACGTCGATAATGAGTGACAATTAAGCCCGCAGGACTCCGTGAATCTCAGAGTCAAAAAGAGTGACTCCAAGTAAATAAGACTGATTTGGTATGCTTTATTTATTTATTTATTAATATAATGCTCTACCTCTAAACTAAAATCCTTGAAGGCATGTATTATTCATTCAAAATTAAAAAAACCCTATAGCAAGTAAAGAAACTGATAGCGAACAGCATGAATCCTGATCAGACTGCGCGGATGCGCAGGCTGGTCTGGATCCATGCTGGTAGCAAACCTATTATGTTGGTTTTGTCCTGACGCGGCTCATTTGTTGAATTGGCACCTTTCATATAATTATCATGTAATGGCCTCTACACAAATATAAACAGTTAGCAAAACTTTTAAATGGTGACTAGAATTTTTTTAAGTTTTTAGTTTTAGCTGTGGCAGAAATCTTGATAAGCAGACCAGAACCATTTAATCAGTTTTTAGAGAGAACAATTCAACCACCATTTCTGTATAGTTTCATCAATATCAAACCAATAGGATTTTTTATTCTTAGCTCTGGCAGTGATTTTTCCCCCTGTATTTTACAGCCAAATATAGGCTGTTTCCCCTAGCATAAAATAGGTATATTTTCCCTTGAAATGCCCAGTGCACATTCTTCATCAGAACCATGACTTAACAGCAGCTGACTTGTAATAGCTAGTTGATAAATTTAATTGACTGAAAGTGAGAAAGCTGTCTCTATGCACCAGGCATGTTAAATTGAATTGCAATTAAAAATTTGAAAAATATGTGTAGGTAAAGTCTGAACATTCCAAGTTGTTGACCGAAGAATTTTCACAAAGGGCCTTATTTCATTCAAATTCCATGCCAGAGTTTTGGGTCTTGTAATTCATAAAGCATGAATCAAGTTTTTTTCAAGTGAATATAAAAGCAAAACTTAAACCAAAAAGATTCTAAATTAATCATTTTTCCAAATTCACAAAGCCATAATTCAGTCAAAATCCATATCAGTGGATAGTGATCTCTGGTTATAATACAAAAGACATGTATTAAGTTTCAAATGAACACCATCGGTAGTTTTTTTATTGATGTTGCATCAAGAAATTTCTTAGTTCAAAAAGGGTCATAATTCAGTAAAAATCCACACTAGAGTTATGGGCCTTGTACAGTGATTTCCAATTATGATCCATAACACATGTGAATAACTTCAGTAGTTTTGAAGATTGATGCTGCTTCAAAGATTTTCTAAGTTCATAATTCTGTCAAAATTTATGGGCCTTGGAACTTAAACCAAAGTGTTACACTGACGCAAACTCCTGAGTGAGTCGAGCTAAAAATATTCATTACAAGAGTTCTACAATATACATTTTATAGCTAAATAAAAAAAGTCATTTACTTGAGCTCTCCAAAAAAACCTATGTATAGGTAAACAAAAGTCATCAAAGTACCTTTGCTGGAGCCTTATAATGCATAAGTAACATAGCTTTCTTGTAGCCAATGTCTCTATCTCGCAAAGGGGCTTTCTTCTCATCTGTCAGGTTCATGTCATCCTTAAAATATGCCACTATTACAGTAATTATTTCACAATTTAAAATTTACTCTATATCAGATCTCTGCAAAAAATCTCATCATTTAGAATTTTTAAATGATGTTCGATTTATAGAATCTAATATTAGACAAGCCTGAGCTAACTACTTAAACTTGAACTTAATTTAAATGCACTTCTAACTTAGTATGAAGCAAAATGGTTCATGTCACAATAAGTTTCATGGTTTATTTAAAATGCTTAGTTCAAACTTTTAAACAATGATGATACTCTTTCAAAATATACTTACCAGCATACGTTCAAATTTATCAATGACCTCTTGAACTGTCATACTGTTAATAACTTCCTGTGGAGCTGGACCACTTGGTTGACCATTTGATGACTCCTCAGTTGTCGAAGGCAACCGTTGACCTGCAGGCAGTGTGGCTGCTGCATTCTGCTTTTTCTCCTTCTTATCTTTCCCAATCTTGAAAGACAACTGGAAAAGCGAAACCTCATATTTAGCCAATGAAATTTCATTATTTGTTGTAAGTTTCATTAATAAGTTTACTTCTGAAGTACAGTAGTTGCAGTAGTCAGTCAGTTTTCACTGACACCACTTCTTACAAAGTCTATGCCCAAGTAAAGCAATTATCAGTTGTTTCAATTTTCAAACTTTTGTGTAATATGGCAACGATTAAGGAAAATTCTCAACATTAAGGAAAATTCTAGGTTCAAAGGGAGAAAGTTCTAGAAATATTGCTACTAGAGTTATGAACCTTGTCATATCAGATGTGGTTGATGATAAGGAACATATATTTGAAGTAGATACCTTAAGAAATAAAGAAGTTTTATATAGTAAAAATTATAATTTTACAGCACAAAAAAAACCAATTCAATCCAAAATCTGGATGCACACAACAGAGTGAGCAGGACATCCCTCCATATGCTTTCTATTATAGTCAAGCTAAAAATCATAATCAAACGACGGTTAGCATAATACTAGCATGTCACATTTATTAACAGCAATGTTTTTATGTGTCTTTGGTCATCCATACAATAAGAATCAAGGAACTACTATTATACTTCTGATTGGCTCTTACATTATGAGGTTTACAATAAGAAAAAACAAGAGCTGTCAGAAGGACAGCGCGCTCGACTTTTTTAGTGCTTGCCTATAAAACAAAACTTTGACAGTTAAGGGCACACAAGACTTTAACTAGGAATTTCTAAGTACAAATCAAGAAACATTTTCACAGAGTTATCTTCTCTTGCTTACAGATAGGTCTCATGATGGCACATAAGAACTCCAACTTCCAAAGTAATATCTCAAATGGTTAAGTCAACAAGTGGACAAGAATGAAAATCTTAACTGAGTTTCTAAGTCAAAAAGGGCCATAATTCAAATAAAATCCTTAACAGAATTACCTTCTCCTGCCCATGTTTTGGGACCATGATGGTAAACAAGTATTCCAACTTTCAAATTAATATCTCAAACAGTTCAGTCAAAAAGTGGACTGGTACTAAAAACTTAACCAAGATTCTAAGTCGATAAAAGGCCTTAATTTTTAAAACAAATCCTTGACAGAGTTACCTTCTCTTGCGTACAGATGGGGGTAATGATGTGAAATAGCATTAAAAGTTTCAAAGCAATATCTCAAAGGGTTAAGGCAATAAGTGGATTTTACCCATATTCAATGTATTTTCTAAGTCAAAAAGGGGCATAATTCTGTCAAAAACCTTGACAGAGTTATGTCCTCTTGTCTGTTGATGAAGGTCGTGATGGTAAACAAGTATGGTCAGTTTCAAAGCAATACCTCCAATGGTTTTGAAATAAAGTGAGGTGGTACAAAAAACTTAACCAAGCTCAATACACTTTCTAAGTCAAAAAAGGGCCATAATTCTGTCAAAAACCTTGACAGAGTTATGTACTCTTGTCTGTAGATGGAGGTTATGATGGTGAACAAGTATGGTAAGTTTCAAAGCTATACTTGTAATACTTCTGAAATAAAGTGGGGTGGTACGAAAAACTTAACCAAGGTGTGACGCCAACGCTAACGCTAACGCCGACGCCGGGGCGAGTAGGATAGCTCCCCTTTTCATAGAAAAGTCGAGCTAAAAATTGGTCATTCACAAATACAATAACAAGTAACCTAGATTCCATGTGGTGACTTTAATTAAATAAGCTATTCTCTTGTCGATTTGTGACTCTATTTTCAAACATTGCACATGCACAACAAATATCAAACAAACATACAATACAATTGTGCATTTGTTAAATAAATTCAATATTTAAAAGTTAAAAAACTTTCAATAAGTTCTTAAAACAACCGTTCCAGTCATTGAATTTAGCACTGGCGAGGTGGCCCATGGCCAGTGAAAATAAGTTCGGGCCACTGCCAGTGAAAATTTTAAGAAAATTTAGTTAAATCTATAGTAGAATAAATTCAAAACTGGAATTCAGGCTTGTAAACAGTAAATTCAAAATCTTAAATTCATTGACTGCCGTTTAAAGAACATTTTGCAGTCTGATACCTGGGTTGAAATACGCAATCTGATTGGACGAGCCAAATTGGACATCCAATCAGATCGTGTATATCACACAGGTATCAGAATCCAAAATGGCAGCGACAAGTCAAAAAATACCGTGAAACAGAAAAAAATCGGAATGATACTGATATTTGTTGGACATGAATTAGGTAAGCTGTGTTCTTTTTATTGATGTTAATGAATGATGCAGCGAAATCCCGCCGGAATCCGCCGACGATTTCCCATGTTCCACATTGTTTTGCAAATGAACATATAGTAGGCTTTTCACCTTTCTATAGCTATAATTTTGAAAGTGGAAATTTTTTTTTTTGTTATAATTTTATCGGTGGTTTTGTATTTGGTACCTTATAGTAAGCCTTCAGTGTTGTTATATTTTTCTGGTCCTTTGGGATTTGATGCCAGCACTATTAAGTGTTGAGAATTGAGTACCGATCAAGCCGGTGCTAGGGGGCGTGAGGGATGTTGCACTTATTCATTATCCCTCATGTACAGACACAATCAAACCGAGTCTGCAATTCTTAGGTAATTTTGTTGTGATTAATGCTTCCGAGGGATCATTTTGTTTCCAGATTTTTTTAGTGTTGAATTATTTTTTTACAGGGTTGTAGTAGGGGTCCAGGGACAGATACATGTAGGGGTGGGGTGTCCAAACACTGATACTGCCACCTGTGGTAAGATTCAGAACAATTGGATGACTTTCAATTTTCACTTTTAACAAAAATTTCAAAATCATCATACAAAGATGAAACTCACCCTATTAGCTTTGTAAATATAAACAATAAGCTGCGGATTTTAGTGTAAAACTAAAAACAAAAAAACTAGTCAAATCGGCCCTAAGTCAGATCGGCCCCAAAATTAGTCAAATTGGCCTCAAAATTAGTCAAATCTGCCACACAACAATTTTAAAAAGTCAAATTGGCCCCAAAACTAGTCAAATCGCCCCAAAACTAATCAAATGGGCCTCAAAACTAGTCAAATCGACCCATAACTTATTTGTTGGTTTATTGAAAATGACTGATAATTGTATAGACTGGAAGTGTTGTGCGAAAACGGTAGGAGGCAGTCACTTGTGATGCTTGTGACAGATGGCAACATAGGAAGTGTAATACCGGTAAGCTTGGAACAGGTAAATATGACTTATCATTTTATGGTGTGTGTAATACTTAAGTGACATAAAGACCCTTTTGTTTCGATGTCAAGTTGAATTTTATTAGTAATATATTTGAACAGAGGTTAATATAATGATCATTGACTGATAATTGATGACTTTTTCATACTTTCATTTAATTTTTATGCTTGCAGCTATCGTGCGAAACAACTTTCAGCAACGGCACTGCTGAAGAAGATTTCAAGTCTTTACCAACCCAGGGTGTTGAGACAAGAAGCAGAGTAATGTTCAGTGATAAGAAGTGACAATAATTCGTGTGAAAAACCTCATATGCCTCATACAGTTACATGTATACTGTTTCATATGTTTATAGTACATCGAAGATAAATGTTAAAATTGTTATACTCAGACAATAAATTGATTGTTAATCATATGTTTTGTTCTTGTTTTCTTTGTTAGCCATGGTTTGTCATTAGGTATTCCCATCCACACAAATGTTTTTTATCTGAATATGCATGCAACATTTAAAAAAAAAAAATGAAAAATGAATAAAGAAAATAAAAAAAAATGGGGCAGATCTGACTTGAGGCCGATTTCACTTGAGGCCGATTTGACTATTTTGGGGCCGATTCAACTTGGGGCCAATCTGACTTGGGGCCGATTTGACTGTAAATCGTAAATTGCCGTGAATTGCAAATTTTGAATTTTTTTGTTTTAAGCATGTTGACTTAATCGGGTGTGGAAAACAATGATAAACTATTTAAAAAGTATTTACTTCCAAACAATTATATGCACAACAACCAAAATTGTGAACCAAATTTCTGCAGAAAACAGGAAAAAAATCAATTGTCACATATTTTTGCGACACCAATACTTTTTTATTATTAAAAAGCGAAAATAAGCTTTGTTCTGTTTAAAAATCTTTATTATTACGGCATACATTTTGTATTACATTGGTGCTGATGACATTTTTCAGTATATAACTTTCTGAAAGTTATTCAGAAAAAAATGGGTCAAGGACAGAAAAGGCCGGGTTGCATAGAATAATTTTATTTCACCAATCAAGGGTCATACTATATGACATATATAATCACAAGCATAAAACACAAGGCATGAAACAAAATATATCAACCAACAAATTGTGTATTTGTATGGTAGAAATGAAGACAATAAAGTAACTAAGGCTTAATTCGTATTATTGGAAAAACAAATAACACAGGCATAGTAATGTTAAAATAAGAAGTAAATAAATAAAACAGTATTAAAAAAAAAAAAACACTAATTACTCATTCGATATTCAAGTACAATAATATACATTCAATGGTCTGACAAATTTTTATTACTAATAGTACTACCTAACATAAGATTTCTTTTATTATAAATTTCGAGTAGGTATTTAGAAAAGACATTCAAGACTCTAGGGTCTTCCGAGGACATTAACCAAACAAATTTCTGCTTATTATTCAACATACAAAAGTTCTTATTTGATATTTCAATTTGTCTAAATAGTAGTTCTCTATTACTATCAAATTTTGTACAACACATTGAAAAATGAATTTCATCTTCTACAAGATTGGAAGAGCAACAGTTACAATACCTTTGATTTACTGGGATCTTTTTATATCTGCCTGTTTCTATATTCAATCTGTGTGCACTTACTCTAAACTTGGTGAAGAAAGTTCTTATATCTTTGTCCTTAATATATCTAAAGTACACTTCTCTACAAAACCTTTGTTTAAACAAAGAGTATGTTCTAAGTTTCCCTTCAGTACCCGAGATATTCAAACACCAGTTGGTTTGGTACATTTTCACTAACTTGAGTTTAACAACATTTACTAAGT